ATGATCTGACATGCAAAAGTATTTCTGTAAAATAAACACACCACAGATTGATCCAGGAGGGTGTGTGTAGGGGGGTCAAACAGGTTCTCTTGCTCTGAAGTGACTGAAAGAAATGAACTGGGGCTTGGGATGGGAAGGCTTAGGAAATCTCTGAGACTGAATTTTGGACACGCTCACATATAGACATGTAGGAGGCACAGTGTAGAACTGTAGCTGTGCAATAGCATCTGTCTGTCTTCCAGGGATTCTGTAAAGATAGCTGCATTCTCCTTGGTTCTGGAAATGAAAAATAAAACAGAAATTCTTTTTCTAGAGACATTTTAGGTTTTGAATCTCCATTGTGCATTGAAATGTACAATATCTACTCACGCACACAGTATATAGTCCGCCACTCTGATCTCCTCTTTCTGACCTGTTTTCTCCTCTGAGAAATGAACGGGTGTCTTGGTTAGTGCAGGTCGCCTAACAGACGTGAAAATGCAGAGACTGTGGTTCAGTCTGTACTCATCCACTCTGCCATGACATGCTTAACTGTTTTGAATGTGTTATTATAACAACCACAAAGGACATTAGAAAGGAACCATCTGTCCTCTGAAGTCCCTGGATTAGGGGAGCGGGCCACAGAATACTTCAGTGGGTTTCAGGACAGCCAAGTTCTCCAAAGGATCACGAAAGAATGAACTTCAAAAGGGAAGAGGTTTCACTTGGATCAACTCCCGGAAAATCAGGTTATTTACCAAGTCTTATTTATGCAAAGTGTACAAACACATTTTGACCTGCGTGGTAGCAAAATAATGTTTTAGAAAAACGATAACCTTAGGTGAAAAATCTACCGTAGCAAAGAATGAGGAAGGTCTTTTGTTGTCGTTGTATCTTTTCTATTGACATTGATCAAATTAGCTCTATAAACTATGGCCAGGTCTGCTTGTGTCTATGGCTATGAATCTAGAAAAGAGAAATTTTTTTTGAAGGATTTTTTGAGCTAGGATCTTGAGAATTGTTTGGCTGGGCTGGCTTTGAACCATGATCCTCCTGATCTCTGCCTCTTCAGTAGGATTACAGGCATGAACCACCAGCACCTGGTGAGGATTTGTATTAATTACGTTGAGTAATAAGATCAGGAATGTCTTACACACACACACAGTATTTAACCTTGTTTCTCTCTGTTTGGAATGATCAGGTAGAGAGCCTAAGTTATTTTCAGGTACCAACCACTTCTAGGCATTTTTCATCTACAGGAGTCTCTAGTGTATCTCTGAGCTCACAAGCTGCCTCCTCTTCATCAGTTCACCCAAGTAGAGAACTCGGAATAAGGCAGGTATGTCTTGGCACCTTGCCCACGAAAGTGGCTATCATCACTTGGGTCCCAGGCATATCTTGTATTTATCCGTCTCTATTATACAATATGTCAATTATTTGTTTGCCTGTGTATTTTCTCTTACTATTCTATGGTTAGTTCAAGAACACGAACAGTATTATTCATCTCTGTATTACCACTAGCACACACAGCCTAACACATAAAAGTAGGTATTTGGTATTACTTGTTGCCAAATAAGTAACAAATAACTAAGTACTTAAAAATCAGTTGGACCCAGTTGTTGCACAATTTACAATTATGTAGGTATAATTAAAAAAGTAATGTGAATATTAAAATTTTTCAGTGAAATGACAAATATCAACATTAGATATAAAATGTCTTCTCTGGGAGTGTTTATTATTGCTTGTCAGTGCAGGTCTTTTTGCTTACGATTACAGTTTTGAACATAAATTCAGCAACATAGATGTATGTGAACTTTTAACCTTGTTTTCTCAGCAATTTGGGCAGGGTAGTTGTACTGGATTCTGTTACTTGTAACTGGAAACAGGTCCTTGCTGTCCGGTGATTTTTGGATTTGGTAAACACTTGTGGCTTGCTGCCGATCTGGGACAGATCAGGGGAACACTCTGATACACCCTGCAGTCTGCGGTGTTTGCACTGCTTTGGGCTTCCCGGCTCCATGTGGTGCTTTTTAAAAAAGAATATATATATATATATATATATTTGGGACTGCAGCAACTCTTTAGTGGCTGGCTGGATCCAAATAACAGCTCATTTAGTATATATGTAAGCATTTCTGAATATTTAAATCAAAACTGTGACTAAATTTGAGCCAACTGGATCCCCTTTAGAATTTTAAAATACTGCTGTTCAGCTATCCTGAGAGGAAAACAAAAGAAAAATTTAAAAAATTGCTAGCTTTGCCATAAACTTAGCAGAACTTGAGCCAAGCATGTAAAATGCCATACCACGGAATGTCACGGAAACTTGAAGTCAGTCAAATGTTTACTTTGCACACATATTGCCAAGTAATTGGCTTGAAAAAAATAAGAAAATCAAGTGCTGTAGCTGCTCAGTGTGAGCGGGACACAGCTTGAACATGTCAACCAAGGGTCTGATTGGCTTGGTAGATTCTTAGCTGAATTTCATCATATTTATTTGATTTTTCCAGGCTACTTCCTGCAGGCTCCCAGTAGGAACAGCTGAGATTGTGGCATCATTTTAATGTGCTGCTGTCTTTAGGGCACCAGGCAAGCATGAGCGTTCCGTTTTGGAAAGGGTTGTGTAAATAAATATTTTGAGGGTCAATTGAGCTAAAGTCTTTTGAGCTTTTTGAGACAAAGTAGGTGAGAGTGAGATACAGTGCAAATGTGCAGTTGCCTGGCCTCGTACGTCTAATGCAAGGAAAGCAGTTAAAGCAATTCTGTGGCTTTAAAGTCACTGGATGCGAGTAGGAAACCACAATCACTTATGGCAGAAGCCGGCCCTTCCCAGGTGCGGCAGGCTTTGAGTCTCAGAGCTGCAGCCTCTCTGACACATTCTCTTCCCTCTGCCCTAACAGCTTTTCTGGCAGCTGGGCTCATGGTTTTCTCCCAGGTAATTAATATGCAGTTCATCTATATACCCCATTCTAGCTTTCAGGACCAATGAGGCATTAATCTTTGGGTTTTATCTGATCCTGCTCCAGGAGAAAGTGGACTAGCCATGTTTTAATGGGAGAAGCACTACAGAGCTGCATAATTTAGCTGATTTCATGAATTTAGCTATATCATTCATTAAAAAAAATCAAAGAACAGATATTGGCACATGGGAACTGTCAGTCAAATTTAGCAGCAACAAAACCAACTGGTGTCCTTACTACTACTGGTCTTCGGAGGGGAGAGGCAAACAGCATGGAGATAAACGTATATGTCTCACTTCCAGGGAAGGCAAGAGGAGTTTGGTAATTTACCTGTGAGCATTTGCTGTAGTGATGGGAGGCTGCAGTGTTTCTATTTAAATGGAAATGATAACTCATAGTCTTGTGTGCAGAGTGATTTATTTTGATGTTTCCCCCAGGATTTTCGGTGTTCTGCTTAGAAATACTGCCCAAGGACATATGCTTACAAAATGGTCAAGCACTCCTTAACATAAATACCTTTGGTCAAGGATGAAAAACCAATCAGGCCTACCAAGATTTATAAAGCTTGAGCTATTGAGAGATGGTCTTTAGAGGGTCACAGCTGAACTGAATCAGGAATAACTGGTAACCTTGGGCCGATCTACTCACTGCAAGCTGTAATTGTCTTAAATAACCAAACCAGTCACAGTTCTCATTATCACTGCAAACCTCCTGCGCGCTTTCTTACTTCTAGTATCCACTGTAACAGCAACAGAAAGATGACTGTGGTCAGAGGAAACTTACATTCTATATCTTTAATTATATGTGGATACATATTTAAACATGGTAGTAAGGCAATAAAAAACTGAAATGCTTACAGATATAGATTGTGACTATTTTCCCAAGAAAACGGTATTTAAATGAAAATCTCATTTTTCCTGTTTGGGAGGATTTAGAGCAAATGTATTGAGAGATGTTGGGACAGATCAACTGGGTTTTCCTGATCCCTGTAGGGACCTAGAAGAGGCAGCTGGTCACTCGGTTAGTCAGTCAGGTTCACCTCTGATATTAAGTGGAACATTTCTAGTTACCTGAAGACTAGGTAGGACCCAGGGTGCTGAGCGAAGCCACATTTTGGTCTATGTGAGGTTGAAACAGTCCCTACTCAACTTCTATGGTGTACTGCAGGTGAATTAAAAGGAATAGGGAAGAAAAAAGAGAATAAGAACACATGATATTCTGAACCTAACAGTTATATTCAGGTGTAAAGCACAGGGAAAGTTGCACCTTACAGACATACAAAAAAAAAAAACCAAAACAATCCCGCATACTTTATCTGGAGGGGGGGAGAGAGAGAGAGAGAGAGAGAGAGAGAGAGAGAGAGAGAGAGAGAGATTGAAGAAAAGAGAAGACAGGGAGAAGGAGAGAGAGGGAGGAAGATGGAAAGAAGGGGGAGGGAGAGGGGAAGAGATAGGGGAGAGGGAGAGAAGGGGGAGAGAGAGAATGAACGTGACAATTTTTGGCTAGGGAATTACAAGAGTAATCTAAGAACATCACTATGTTTTAGGTATTTTCACATAAGTATGTATTTTTAAAAGTAATTTCATGATGATGATACAATAATGTTTACAAGAATTTCATACCTTTATAACGCAAATTCCACCAGAAGAATAATTTTTTTTAATACTTTAAAATTCTGGGTTTTTTTCTCCCTTAAAATGTTCCATTGATCTTTTACTGCAGTGAAATGAAGATTCACAGACGTCTCTGGAAAAGCGCCAACTCGTCAGTCACAACACATGGGTTGTTTTTTCTGTCCTTTAGGAAAATGTCACAACACACTCCACCCTCTTCCATGAGTTGGTGATTAAGACTTTGGTTTGAAAAGCCGGTTCACTATTTTATTTACAGAAGGCAAGAGAGACGGTGACACAGGTGTGTTTGCCAAAAAGGAAGCGGCATGTGCGTGCACGTGTATTGGGAGATGTCTCCAACCATCACTCTCAGAAAACCCTCTTCTCCCTGCCTCTTTTATTATCATCAAACGTTCAAAAAAAATGGCCAAAATTCTGTGTGCCACACTTCGGCGGTGCTGTCCAGCCGCCGCTAGCGGGCGCTGTTTGGGCATTTCCACGCGGTCCCCGGGCCTGGACGACAGAGGACAGCGCGCAGCTCGGCCGCCAGAACGGCCGCAGGTTACGGCCCGGGCGCACAGCCGCGTCCTCACGGAGGACGGAGGCTGCCCGTGATCAACCGCCCAGGGCGCCCGGTTCCCGGCGGCCTCCCACAGAGCCCGTCGGGCAGGTCTCCTGTGTCGGTGCCCTCGGCGGGGACCGCAGGACGCCCAGGCAGCCTTCTCACCCTTTCAACTTGCAATGCACAGACAGCTACGGAGCTCCTACGTCTTGACTGTGACTCGGGGCCCGGCAGCCTCGGAATGCGTGCAGGCAGTGACCACAACGGCTGCAAACTGCACGTCTGCTGCTGGCCCATTACTCAAAGGCTGAGAAAGCCACTGCACAGCGCCTTCTGGAACAAACCGGGGAGCCGACTGCTTCCTCAGGCTCCGCAGTGACGGATACAATGTAACTGTGCGGCGAGCGTTCGATACCTTTGTGACTCTTTCTCTCTGAAAAACAGCTTCCGGGCTGACCGAGCCCCACGCTTTGAAAAGCAGTCCTCTCTCACGCAATTCTCTTCCCGTGCATGTTGAACCACCTGCCCAGGCACTATTCCTCTCAGTCGGTCACACAATGACATGTGGATTGATCTCCATACACTGACTTTTGGGTTCCTTTCTCCCCTCACTTTCAAGATGTAAATATCACCGATGACGACTGTGAACTAGGAGGTTGGGTGAAGTGGGAAGGCTCATTTGGAGACACGGATTTCTGGTAGGCAAAGGGCAAGGGGTTAACCGAAATAGCAAAAACCAATCAAGGGACACCTTCTGTTTTTCCAACAGAAAACACTGCATTTAACAACAGCAAAAGGATATGAGCCTAAGGATTCATTGTATCTATTAGCTTCTCTTTTCAAACTAACCAGAACTAAGTAAAGTCCAGTTTCCAGCAGTCCAAGGAATAGATTTTACCAACCTATCTACAAGATAAAAGCTAAACCAGGAAGTCCAATCACCAATTATAAAGTGTGTACTGAGCACTTGAGCATGGTCACTTCTTTAAAATGAGTTCCATTCACTGAGGGGGCAGAAATGACAAGGCTTTCTTCAAACCAACAGTCCACCTTGAGCTCTTCACACAGAGACTCAGGTGACCATCCGGGCAGCTGCGTGGGCAACCCCGCTCAGGAAGCGAAAATCTCTAACCAGAGCCTCCTGGGATCCACACTTAAAGCTAACATCAGTGAACTCTGAACTGGGAAGGAAAACAGTGGTGAACAGTGGGAAGAAATGATCACAGAGCCAACCAGTCTGATTATTTTGACTCATTGAGCCTGTAGCGATGTTCTGAGGGTTCTGTGTGTCTCTGTAGGGATGGAAAGTTGACTTTACCTCGTATAAATATACCTTTTGTTTGAGCTGATCTGTTTTATGCTCACCTTTTTTTCAGTTAGAAGCTAAGATTGTAGTATTTGGTGACTTACATCAAAGTCTTAGAACAAAGACCTACATGAATTACAAGTTGAAACTCTGAAACTATACACTGATGGCCCAGAACACAGAGCAATTTATACATCACAGGCAAGCAAACCTCAAAGAAATTAAAATCAGATTTCAATTTCATCTGAGTCGCCAGTTCATTAATATCAATAATAGTTGTCATCCGGTGGGAATTTCCAAACATCGGTCACTATAATGATGCTTTCTGACAATGACATTCATAACTTAATAGAAGTCTGTGAGAGGCCCCACTACGTCCTCATCTTACAGATGACAGAATGGACAGAGAAATTGTGTAACTCACCTAGTCTGTACAAGATGGACCCAAAACTCTTAACCCAGGCAGCCTGACTCCAGAGCTCACTATAAAGTCAGGAAAGGAATAATACAGCACCAACCCAGCCAAAGTCCTTGTAACACATCAGCACCATAGGCACCTCATCTGGAAATAGGAAGTGATGTGACCTGCCACACAAGGACCCCACTTATTGACATAGGGCCTGCATTTGCTGTGACTCACCTGACACCAGTCATTTCATTTTTCTGAAGTCCAGTTTCCTCATCTGTGAGTGATAAAAATTAACATGCTACCAAGGAATTCTACCACTGCACTACACTCTCAGCCCAAGTAGTGGGGTTTAATTGAGATCTGTAAAAAAATTTTTTTTTTCCAGTGGGGCACCCATGGCTCATGCCTGAAATCTGAGCTATTTGGGAGGCTGAGATTGGAAGGATCGTATTTCAATACCAGTCCAGGTAAAAAATTACTGAGACTCCATTTCAACCATGTGGTGACTTGTACTTGTTTTCCAAACAATGGCAAGAAGCCTAAAATAGGAGGCCTGCCTGGGTACACAAGTGAGATCCTATCTCCAAAACAACCAGAGCAAAAAGGGTTGGAGGTGTAGCTCAGGCAGTAGAGTGCTTGCTAAGCCATGGGTTCAAACCCCACTACCACACACGCACACAAAACTGGATGCTAGTGGACACCTCTAATACTAACAACTTGGGAGGCAGAGATCAGGAGGATTGTAGTTTGAAGACAGCCCCAGCAAAAAGTTCTAGACAGCCCTCTCTACAGAAAAATCTTGGGCAAGTCCGAAGAACGTTGAAAGCAGAGAACAAACTAGAACCGCTGACAGGCAGAGAGGCCAGTCACTGGACGTAATGACCCTTGCACATGCAAAGCCAGGAGAAGGCGGGTTATGCCTTAGGAAACACGTGTACCATAGTGGCCCCTAAATAAGTGAACTGTCTGCAGCCGTTGGTACAGTAATGAAGAATGTAGATCTGCCCTGAAACCTGGATTCAAATTCTGAAATTCACTCAGTCTTAAGGTCTCTGAGTTTCTCATTAGTGAAAATGAGGCCATGAATGTAGAGTTTAAATAAAATAGGACATGCTAGGTGCTTCCTGTTGGTAAGGCTCAGTTAATAGGGTGACACGATTGATTGCTATTGTTTAACTTCTGAGACCATGACAGTTTGACGGAAGAGATACAATTTCAGGAGAAGTATGCATCAGAGACTCTCATAGGTGGCTTTCAGAGTCTGTTCAAAACTTAATCTTCACTGAAACTGCCTGGCCTCAAAGCCGGGCTCACATCAGTGCTGGAGATTGAGTCTCCGTGTCTACATAGGTAGATATTGTTTTATTCAATGAAATTACACAAATTGCCTTCTGATGGGGCTGGACGTGCCCTGCGTGAGTCCTGGTGGGGAGGTGGGTGGCCACTTTGTGTTGGGATGAAGGGCAGAGGAGGGACGACTAGAGGTGAAAGCTGGGACCCTGTTCCTGCAGCTGCAGGAGGGCTCTCTGCTGACCAGATCACAGACTGCCGTGCAGCAGATCCACAGGCTCTGACCCTCTTATGGTTATAAGACCCCCACCCATGTGTGAAGACAGCATGCACCACTGTGCCTAGCAGGCATGCTCAGTTTCTAGGGGGAACACATCACCGTGAGATAAAGTTAACTAGCACAGTATTTTATAAGAGCCTTGGGAAATAAACAGAAGCTCCTCGGAATGCCCTCCTCCATTGCACCTGCTTTGGCACACAGAGAAAAAGGGCCACAGGCACCAATCTGGTTGAGATGGAGTCTTGTTAACTTTTTTCCTGGGCTGGCCTCAAACTGCAATTCTTCCAATCTCAGCCTCCCATGTAGCTAGGATTACAGAGGTGAACCACTGGTACCTGGCTCCTGTCAGCGGATTTTGAGCAGAGGTGAGATGATTTGGTTAGGTCAGCTCTGCAGAGAAGAGTCTACGGTTGAAAAAACCAGTAAAGAAAGCTACGGGATGGGAGGGGGAGGTGGCCCAACCAATGTATATACATGTGAGTAAATGTAAAAACAAACAAACAAAGCTACAGAATAATCCAGAGAGAGATGGTCAGGATCTGATAGGAACGACGGGAAGAGGCTGGATTCCTCACAGACCCAGAAGGCAGAGCCACTCGTGTTAGCCAGTGCGCTAGGTATGGGGTAGGAGAGAAAGAAACACTCACAGGCAGCTACGAGGTTTCTGGCCTGCAAATTGGGACATACGGAGTTGTTGTTTTCTGAGATGGGGAAGTCTGTGAGCAAAAGCGTTTTGCATTGCTTTTTTTTTTTTGGAGGGGTGGGGATAAGTTCAGACACGTGGAGCTTAACCTGGGATAGGTCAAGGTTGAGATGCTTCTCACACATCCACGTGGAGATGTTAGGTGGTCAACTTGATACATGAGTGTGGAGTCAGGAGAGAAATCCTGGCTAGAAATATAAACCTGGGAGCTATGTTAAAGAGCTATGAATTTAAAGTTACAAATCTGCAGGGTATCCTATAGGAAGTGGGTGTAGATGGTGGAGAGAAAAGGCTCAAGGACTGACCTCTGGGCACCACGTTGTTTAAAAGTCTGGTTCATGAAGAAGAAACCAGCACACGGGGCACAGTGGCTGATAGGCCAGGTAAATGAGAACCAAGAGTGGCTACTGCATACACAACACACACATCACCAGCGGCGTTGGCAGGAGCTGTGTCATGGAGATCTGGGGACAAAAGCATGATGGGAATGGGCTGGGGATAAGTCGAGAAGGGAGGACGTGTGTGGGGTTGTAGGATTTTTGGATGACTTTTTCAATGCTGCTGAAAAGCAAAGCAGAAAACTGGAGGGGAGGGAAAAGGAATGTCAGGTTTTGAGTTTGTTTTTAAGATGTGAGACGAGTATGCTAATCAGAATAATTTAAAGGAAAGTGGAAAATGCCTATGGGGGAATATTATTAAGGGTGAACTATTACCTTCATTTGATGTGCTTTATAATATTGTATGATGCAGTATGTTGGGTTTTACTTATGTATGTTTTATAACACAGTAAATAATATTACTAATGAGTATGACTAGTGAAGTTATAATGGTCTCTGGCTTTCCTCCCGATCACAGAATACTTTGAATATAGTACCTGTAGGGTTTCCTCTCTCTCTAGGGTTCCCTCTCTAATACTTAGCAACAGGGAGCTAAACCACAGACACGTTTTCTAGAAGTACAGTTAGAACTACCTTGCCGAAAAATGTCATGGAAGGAATTAGTCATGCACTCGCACTTCAGATTTTCTTTGGGTTAAGGTGACACAGCGTTCTGAGTTATGTAAATATAAACTTAATTAATTGCACATTACACTTCCTATGGCAGACAGAGGTTAACGATATCTACGTAGACCCAGACACCTGGTAGTGAATTGTGGCTAGATAAGAACTGGACACGGTCTAGCTGCAGGCAGAGGTCAGATGCAGAAGACCCTAATTCTGTGCACGATAGATCATTTTAAGTAATAAAACAGTTGTTCAGAGAACAAATCCAGCTGCTAGTTTATTAATTTCTCTCCATACTTGTGACTCAGAAGCACAGACTTCCTTTGTCCCTCTTGGTCCGGTTCTGGAACTTACGCCATTTGGTTGTCAGGTGCCATGTCAGAGGTGGGGAGAGCGTTCCAGCGTGTAGATCCACACTGCGCACATGGCGGTGCTGGGGCCGCCTCAGTGATGGGGAGGGCATAGGAAGTCCAGCTTCACACTCACAGGTTGGTAGGGAGAAAGGCAGGGTCTGTACCTCACACTTCTAAACCCTGCGAAGGCCACATAAGTCCCCAAGCCATCTCTAGGCAGACGTAGGACGAAGGCAAAACATGCCACAGACTCTCCTTTCCTGCCCTATCCCCAGTCAACCCCACACCCGTTATCACACGCCCATTTCTCCTGAGCGGATCTCTCTGCCCAGAACCCTGCAGTCTTCTGCACGCTTACTCCTACTTGTCTTTGCCGTCAGGACTGCGTGACTCAGATTTATGAAGGTCTCCTTTTCGATATTCAAAATGATCTGTCTTGGAGTCAATTTCTCTTGTTCTCAGCTGGGTCAGTACTTTGCAAACATTAATGTTCATATGAGTCACTTTTGGATCTTGTTCTAAGGCAGAGTCTTATTCCATGGGTGTCGGGTGGGGGTGCGGCTGGGGCTCTGGGTTTGTTTCAGAATTTGTGATTCAGATCTGCTGGTCTCGGACCACACTCAGAGTGATGGGGGCCAGGAGACCAAAGGTAAATGTCGGAGTTTTGAGGATGGGCACAGGGAGGGGTT